GTTTGAGACAGGATCTCATGTAGTTCAAGCTGACTTTGAACTTCTGACTCTCCTTATTCCACGTCCTAAACGCTGATTAGAGGGATCTGGCACCATCCCCAACAAACCATAACATCTCATTTTGTCTATCAAATGATTTCAGTTCCAATCATTTTCAGGTATGAAACTTGATATCATTTTGTATTTTCAAGAGACACTAAATGTCAGGGGCATGGGTGAAACATATAGGAGTATTTTAAATAAAGAGCAGTTCTAAGTTAAAAGTGGAATGTTTCTCACTCTGAATGTCTCGTTTATTTTGGTAAATTTGTCAAATGAATACATGCAATATACTCACAAAGCTCTAAGAGCAGACAATGAACAACCAATATTCAGACTTGCCTGAAAGAGTTTTCAGCTTCACTTATCATGTTAATAAGCCCTCTTACTGGAATGTCAATTTTCTGTTCACTAAAACCCATAGCTACTAGAAGCAGTCACACTGACATAATTTAAGCAGATTTAAACAAAGCCACTGTAAACTGAGTTTAGTATCTGAGAAAACAATATTCTCTATCTTGATAAACCTCCAAATACATCAAGATATCATAAACCCATCCATGTAACCATTGTTTTTTATGTCTGGTCCATTAGCTGCTCCTAGCCCTGTTTGCCTCCCATTCTCTTTTCCTATCAAAACTCTGGTCAAAACAGCCTTTGGCAAAGTTTGAGAGTCAATATTTTTACAGTCTACAGTCCACTATGACACTGTTTAATCTTACACTCTCTAAAAGAGCTTGTATACCCAAAAGCTCATCAATTATCCATCAGTGGGCTTGGTCACCAATATACAATGGCCCTAAGCATTGGGAGTAGAGAAGTTTTAAGAGGCATAAAGGAGGCTAAACCTGTGTTTATCTGGAAGTGGGAAGGAAGGTTTTACTCAGACAATAGGAGAAATGTAGTTAATATTTTTTTGAGATGGTATTTTTAGCACATAGGCAAATTATGTGTGACCCCAGGTAAGATTACAAGTGAGCAAAAGACGATCATTTAAATAAAATGAAGGTAGGGAATAATTTGGTAATTTTTTTGATATTACTAGAAAAGAACTAAGAAGCAAGCTAGGAATCTATCAATTCAGATAAATCTAATCCCTGAAGCTTTAACAATGAATCTAAAACTCTCAAATTAGAATTACAATAGAAATATTAGAGAATAGTCACAAATGAGAGAATTTCTATGATGAAAAGTAATCCCACGGTGTTGACAGGGTCTCACGAAGACTCGGCTGACCCTCCAGCTTACTGCATAGGGAAGGATGGCCTAAATCTTAGAATTTCCCTGTCCCTGCCTCCCAAAAGCTGGGCTTAAGCTTGTACAACCATGTCCAGCTCTAAAAAAAAAAAAGTTTGAAACGCCATTTTAAGAAAAATTGTTTATGAACTTCACTGAGTCAACGACCGGAAAAATAGGAGCAACAAGCACAAACGATGTTTCCATTAGCCTAGAAAATAACTTCTCTTCCTTATTAAGACAGAAAATTTGAGAGCCTATTGAAAATTATGAGCTGTCTTCATAATAAATTTTTTCTGAGAAAAGTGATGTAAAGGAGCAATGGGATTTATTCACAAAAAATAAAAAGGTTATTTCACAACTCTTATACAAAATACCCATTTAGTAAATAAGCTGGGGGGAGGGGGCTTTGAATTTGGTCTTTGTAATACAACTATTTACATACATTTAAAATACTGTTTCTCCAGGTGACCAGAGCTAGTGGGAGTTCACCGACTGCATACTCACAGGGGTAAACCTGCATAGGGTCCAATTTGGCCCCCTAAATGTGGGTGACAGTAGTGTGGCTTGGGCAGTCTGTGTGGCCGCTGGCAGTGGGACCAGGATTTATCCCTAGTGCTTGAACTGGCTTTGTGGGGCCAATTCTCTTTGGTGGGATACCGTGCTCAACCTAGATATGGGGGGAGGGCCTTGGTCCTCAAAGTGATTCGACAGACTTCCTTGATTTCCCATGGGCGGCCTCAACCTCTCTGGGGAGTGGAAAAAGTATGGGGTAGGAGGAAGGGTGGGGGGAGCAGGAGAGGAGGGAGTGAGACCTGGGATTGGTATGTAAAATGATAAGATTGTTTTGAAACAAACAAAAATACTGTTACTTTTACTCATATTCAGTTACTTAAAAAATCCACGAAACAATGGTATAAAACAAATCTTGTTTTCAAACTATAAAAAAGACCCCACAACTAAAAATAAAGGAAGTAACATAACCATGATGCAGGTTAAGGTTGTCACTAAGCCCAGTAAGCATTCATTTTCTCTTAGCACAAAATATTGTTTGTGGGGGGAAAGTACCCAGGTCGCTAGAGCCTGTAATCCTAGAAAAAGGAGAGTGGGCAGGCATAGAGTTCCAACCCAGTCTAGGGTATTAAACAGGAAAATCCAATCTCACCCTTATTCCTAAATCCTACTAAAATATATATGCTTTTACAAGTGTGCTTTAAAGACGCGGGTTCGAGAACTTTAACGAATTAATATTTACCAGAAGCATTTGTAATTTCATCTTTTATTTTTTTTAAAAAAAGGACGACATAAATGCAACGTCGATGATTGAGAAATGACCTTTTGGTTTCATACAGATACAAGAGACCAGCACAGCTGGTATTCTGAACAGGCAACCCTCACCCGGAGGAGGGAAGATTACACATTCTCACGGGGTGCACAGGCAGGGAGGGTAAGGGGGGGGGGGCAAGGACTCGAGGAAAAGAAAGGTCAGACCCTGACACACACGGTCCTTGGGGCCTTGCCTGCTGAGCTCTGACCTCTACCTCAGCTCAGACCAAAGGGGTGATTCACAGACTGCTCCTGACTTCACTGCTCCTCAGACTTGCTCAGACTGCTATGGTCTCCTCAATGTGACTGGAGAATCCTGAGACTAACTCTCAGACTGAATGCCAGCACTGAGATCCTGCTCCTGTCTTGTATACCTCTCTAGTTCTGGGATTAAAGGCATGTGATCCCAGGTACTGAGATCACCTTTGTGTGGGCTGTTTCTTTTACGGACTGGATCGATTTCATGTAGTCAGTGTGGTCCTGAACTAACAGAGATCTGTCTACCTCTTAATCCTGAGTCCTGCATTTAAATGTGTGTGCCTGGTTTCTGTGGCTAACTAGTATGGCTGCTTTGATATTTGATCTCCAGTGGTTTTAATAAATCATAAATGATATATCACCACAATTCCCCCTTTTGTCTAATACAAAAAGGCTATAACTAACATAAGAAACTATATACGATAAGTACAATAACTATATGCAATATTTACAGGCAATAAATACATCAACAATGTCTAGTCCACTTACATTTGACAAATTCAGAGAAAATATTTAGTCCATTTTCATTTGTCAAATTCAGAGAAAATATCTTCATTATCTATTCTATCTTGGTGAGTCCAAAGTCTTGTACCTAATTTACTTTCTATTCTAATTTGCATTATCAAATTATCTTTTAATGTCTTTCAACCTTTAACACTTTACATATCTTTAGTGAATTTTTTCTGAGTCTGGTGAACAATTAAAAACTATAACTATACTATCTAGTCTTCAACTTACTCAGAGACACGAGAAGGAAAAAATATTAACTGAGTAAGCAGGAAGTGTGCGCAAGCGAATTCCAAAAATGTGAGAAATGACAGGCACAGCTGGTTGCTTGGACAGTCACCCAATGTTCCTCTGCAATGTTGGGGCATCCATATTTGGCTTATAAGCCTAGCATATCTGACAGACGTTTCTGTGAAGCAGGACTTTCTACAGGACTATCCTACCTTGTCTTGGCAAAGTTTGCAGTCACTGTCTTTGGTGTCCTGTTTGTCCAATTTGGACAGGATACTGTCAGCATTCGAGGCAAAGCACACTTTCTTGCCCAGTGGCTAACTTTTGCCACAAAGAAAGTAAACTTCATGTGGAGTTTCTTCAGTGCCCATCATCTTCTCTTAAGTAGATTGGTGCTTCCAGGAGCAGTCATATCTAATTGTCATACAAAAGAACCCATGTTAATAAAACCACTTAAATGACATTTTCTGTAGATTTCTGAAGATGATCTGTCTTTCTAAAATATATCCATTTGACCTTAAAGACATTACCCAATATGACTACAAGTTCTATTAATAGTTGACTATTAACCTACATTACTTCATTAGTTTATATAGTTGTTAATAATAATCTTCAAGGATTAGAAATTTGCATTACATTACTAAATGAGTTGTATAGGTTCAATAAATTTAACAGGGTTAGAAACATATGTATGGTATGTTTTAACAAAATTAATCTCAAATTTGTATCAATATATAAAAGTCCAATCAATGTAAAATATTTAATATTAATAGTTGCTTTTTGAGAGTAGATTCAATAATCTACCTTTTTACCTTATCACATATATATCCTCCTTTTTTCTTTTTCTGTTTTTCAAAACAAAAACCTTGAATCTAATCCCCTTTCTTCAACTTTTCTCCTCACTGTAACCAACATCATTTTGTAACCAATTCCCTAAACAATGACAAATATCCAAAACCCATTGAATGACTAAAAACCATCCACCCCTTGGGAATGTGGACATTGTGTTCTTAAGGTTACTGCCTGCTGACTATGGGGGGTGGCATTTTTGGGGGATCTTGAAAAAAACAATTTGGATTAACTGTCAAACACATCAATTTTGTTGGGTCTCTGCATAAGGGGAAAGCGCAGGACTTGTCCCAAGTCCTGTCTAGAGTAGTCTGTGAGGATGTATCACCTCACTTAGCCTCCTTGAAATTCTTCTGAGTAGTCTCTGTGAGGCTGATTCATCTCAATTGACCACCTCAAATTGTTCTGAGCAGTTTGTAGTCCAAAGCTGATCTTCAGCTTAGCAGTGTTGTCATAGTCCTGGTGGAATTGTCATTGTGGGTTCCTCCTCCTCCTCCTCATTTTCTTCCTCCTCCTCCTCCTCCCCCTGCCTTTATTCCTGTCACTCCCTGCCTCAGCGTCCTCATAAATGCGCCAGGGGTGAACAGAACGCCCCGGGCATCTCTCTGTCTTTGTAGGAGAGAGAGAGAGAGACAGCTCCTCATCCTCCCGGGCCGGGGTAAACCCCCCCCAAAGGTGGTCACCCCAGCCTCCCCTGTCTCCTCCCCCGCTCCCTGGCACGACTGCCGGCCGTCCTCCGCGGTGCCCAAGACCGAGAATCCACAATTCTCCTCGTCTCAGGAAAATAAAAAAAATAAAATCAAAAGCTGATTTTGACCGAAGGGTTGGCACCAGCGCGGTGGCCGCAGATAGCGACGAGAAACAAACGGTCCCCTGTGCTGAACCCGGGAGGAGGGAGAGAGGGAAAACAACAATCCCGGGCGGGCGCTTGCTTCACTGGCCGCAGTTCCGCCTAGATCCGCCCTATCTAGGCTGCCTCTCAGGAATGATCACATTTAAAGTCAAAAAGACAGACCGCCGGAGTTAACCCCAGAGCGAATTTCTGTGTCGCTTGTTTTATTCACCCTTGAGAGATGTGGATAATAGAAGGTGTTTGGAGTTCTGGAGACCTCGGGGAGAATTAAGTGAGGTGCGTTCGGCTCTAGGTTGGAGTTAGCAATACCTAATTGGGAAAACAGCCCCCCTTTCCCTTTAATTTCTGAGATGGAGAGTAAAAACTGTAATTTCCCTCTTTTGTCCTTTACAGATTCTAAAAATGGCGGCCCCAGGCTGATGTTGTGGTAATCTAATCAGCTCGGGTCCTCCACACCCCATGCAGTGCGTTTGTCTGCAGCATATTACAGGCTTATTATGTTTACATGAAAAAGACTGGGCTCGCCCCCCTTCTCTAAACTATTTACAAAAATGCGTCAATTTTATTGCAGATTATAATGCTGTGTTTTAGTTGATTAATTTTGTTTTTTTCCTGAGAGGCAAATAAAAGAACACAACTTTTGGGAAAAAAATAAAAATACTTGGTCTTAGAAATTCCATGATCAAGGGACTTTTAAACATTAGAAATTTTTTTAGGTACAGATAATAGTTTATGTTGGTCTTAAATCACCCATGTTTATCTAATATGTCAAAGTAAAATGTTTTGTTGAGTGTAACCTATTCTAGATGATTGAGAATTTTTATCTTCAGTTAAACATACAACTCTTAACTAATTTTGTGTATTTTGGGTTTTGTATTTTGCTTTAGAGTAAATTTTGTAGGGAGCTGTATAAACAGACCTAACCCTGTTAAGTTCACTGGATATAAGGATGCTTTTCTTCCCAATATTATGTCTTGCCTCTGCATTCTCTTGTATTTAAAGCTTTAATAATTTTGAATTGGTTGTATATTTGGTAAGGTGACACTCCATGCTTTGCTGCCTCTTAAATTTGTCTGATTGCATACTATCATCATTATGTAAGTTAAAAAAAAAAATAAGGCTTTGGTCTTGATTCCCTTTCCCATGCCCATTTGCCTATTATGGGATTGTGGAATTAGTCTGTTTTAATAGACCTTAAATCAAGCCATTGCCATAATAGGATCTTGAATCCATTTTTTGCCCTTGTCAAAATCTTCAAGACTGAGACAGAAAATTAACTCTGAGGTATGATTTAGCTGTACTTTCCAAAGTGGGAGGGATTGTCTTCTTTCTGGGTGGAACTGAATAGTAGGATATGATGGGGCCATTAGTGGGGTTTAATGACCTTTCTGGGTATGCAGCACTGAAAGATGAATGCCTTTCAGTCCAGCAGTACTTAAAAAGGCCGGAGAGCACACATCCTTTCGTGAGTCTTTCTCCGTTGTGTGAACCTTAGAACAGGATGCACTTCATATGGTGAAGATAGGAACATTCTGCAAAATAAGTGTGGAAGTAATGGTGTTAGGCAGTTTTACATCCCAGTGAGTTTCATCCTTGAAGACTGATTGAGTACAGAACCATACGTAGAATCTTTGAAATATTGTATAGTGAAATGTTGGTGGGTAGTGGGTGAGTTTGTATAGGAATTCCAGGTTACTTATTTACATAATACTTCTAATGTGTGAATCTAGACTTTAGATTCAATATATGGGCTCTGCGGTTAAGATTTGTGATTTAGAACAAGGTTGGTACTTTTAACTTGATAGTTGGTATTTGGTCTTCCTATCCAGTACATGAAATCAGTGTTTTATAAATTTATGTAACAATTAAGAGGGAACACTATACATACTATGGTTTTCTTGATATTGATGTTGGTCAGTCAGGTCTAGACATAAAGCAATTGACTAACTTGGTTTCACATAAAAAAACATTGTTAAAAATAAGAAAAGCTTCCTTTTGTGTTTTGTTTCTCTTTTGACTCCTGTGAAATAAAAGAGTAATTTTAAGTGTTTGTTGTACCTTATTTTCAGTAAAAAACAACACAGTTGTTGTACAAGTTAGGATAGGGGGACACAAATTTATTAACAGGTTGTGTTTAATTTCTGTTCCAGAGAATTTTGAAACATTCCATCTCGGGAGGAAACTAACAGTGTTTGTTCCTAGGATAGCTGAGTTTCAGGGATTATATATTTATCTGTTTAAGTGGATTTGTAGAAAACCTGTAATAGAGTAAAATTACTTTTAAAAAAGTTAATTTTAGAGACTGCCTTTTGATCATTCTTAGTTTTTGTTGTCATTATAAAGTATTTTTTTGATCCCTATTTAAATCGAGAACTTTTGCCCATTTCCTTTTACTTCAACTCTAGAGTCATAGTGACAGCAATAGCTGTTAATAGTGATTATGATTAGCAGTTATGCTCCTATGTATGATTCTGGCTTGTCCTCGATTCTTGCAGCCAGAGAAGCTTCTCTATATACTTTTTTGATGAGGGAAACCATTACTTCTTAAGTTAGTATGCTCATTTATAAGAGTAGTGTACTCATTTTTGTGTATTTACCTCTTAAAACTATAGTATTTTTAAAGGTGTATTAGAAAATCCTAACAGCTCTGCTTTTTTGTACATTGCTATTGAAACATAGATGTGTATTACCGTGGTAGTGTTTAAATGTAAAAATGTTTATTTTTACTTAGTTATGAAGTAGTTATGGATATTTGCATTTATGTAAAGTATTTGCTATGTAAAATTTTACCTTAAATTTCTATATTTAAGTAGCAATGAAATTTGAGTAGTTATCAGAATTGATTGGGGATATTAGCATTAGTGGAATGCAGTTGTCTGAAAAGACAGTACATTATTGAAAAACATATCTTTAAAAAGTATAATAGCTTTTATTTCTAAAAGACTTACTCTTGGCAAATGATAGGTGCTCATTTATTGAATTTAAAGCTTTAAGTGTACTTGTACTTCAAAATGGCTTAATCAGAGACTGTTTCTTATTATGTCTCAGAGCGTATTTTTTTTAGTTTCTGCCCCAATAATAGGAAGGATCTATTTACTTCAGACATTGCTGTGTGATACTATTAGCTTTGGGCTGAGTTCAAGAATCCAAGTGACTCAAACTTATTTTCTCTTTTTGTCATCAAGAAATATATCGGAAGGAGCCTTTATTTCCTTAATGCTGAACTGATTGTTTTTGTATTAATTTAGTATGAAAGAGCAGTATTTGTGGTTAGAATTGTTTTGCACTGTTAGAAGTAGACAGTATTAACCAAAGATTGACCTATTGCTATTAAGTCATGAGTATGTTATAGAGGACATATTATCAAGCAAACAAATTGTTTATTATTGTAAACTTCTAGACTAAGTGCTAAATTAAACATTAAATAGGGCTGGAGAGATGGCTCTGTGGTTAAGAACACTCATTGTTCTCCCAAAGGTCCTGAGTTCAAATTCCCAACACCTAGATGGCAGTTTACAACTGTCTGATGCCCTCTTCTGGTGTGCAGATGTTCATGCAAAGTACCCATATAAATAAATAAACAAACAAATAAATAAATCTTTTTTTAAAAAAATCAAATCGTGGTGACCCAGATTAAGTATATCTTATTTGTATCTTTAGGCGTATGAAATGTTTTTTTTTTTTTTTAATTAATGTTTAGTGATCATGGTGCTTCTTAAATCAGAATCAGAAAAATCCTTGTTAAAAATTCACTTGATACAAAATCAGTTGTTTTTCCCTCCTTGTCAGTTTATTGTAGGCAGTTTTTAAAAAGTCATTTTAATGTTATTGGGTGGATTTTACAGCTTTATTGGAAATCTCATTTAAGGTCTTAGTTAATTTTTGAGGCAGGGTCCCATGTTTGCCAGACTGGCCTGAACTTTCCTCTATAGCTAGGATGACCTTAAACTTGTCATTCTGTCTCTACTATTAAGTATTAGGGTCAACACCGTGCACCACCACATCTGGTTGATGTGTTAGGGCATGAACATAGGACTTTACATGTGCTAAGCAAGCACTCTGGTCACCACCAGGCTACATCCCCAGGCCCAAGAATCTTTTAATTTACAAATAATGACTTGCAGTACATTGATTTGATTTGTAAATAATCTGCTATTTATTCAAAATCATTTTTTTTAAGTTCTTAACAGTAAAGTGTGAAATCTGGGTAAAGAAAATGAGAAACAAGGGAGTCGGGGAAGGGTAGTAGAATACCTGTGATATGAAAACAGAGGGGTGCTATTTAGGGAAAGAAGTGGCCAGAGATGGAGAGGCGAAGAGTTGGGTGAGTTAGAGCAAAGTATAATGAACATGTGTATGAAAATATAATGAAAATATAATAAAATCTAGAGTTAATTAAGGAAAATAAAAGAAGGCTAGGGCTGCAGCTCACTGTCTCCCATGCGTGAAGCTCCCAATCCCTAGTCCTGCTTCCTGCCCCCACTTTAGAAACAAATCTTACTGTTTCTCTTATTTTTACAACTGGGGAAGAACAGTAATTCCTAGTAACTCTTAGGTTGCTTAATGTAGTGTTAATCCAAAAGGAGGGACACTTTCAGTCCTGAAGTTTATTATTGAGAAAGAATATTGAGTAATTACACCTGTATCAATGCCAGCTTAGTTATTGGTACTTAAAGTATGTGCCGAGCTGGGGACAGAAAGCTAAGGTATGGCAGTGGGATTCAGTTTGCTTCCATTTATGGCATTTAAAAATATTTTTCAAATATTTTTATTTTTTTGAATTTGTGCGTAAGGTAATTTTGTGAATTGTGTGTGTGTGTCGGGGGGTGTGGTGTACATTGGTGAGGGCATGTATGTACCTAACCGTACTTACCGAGATCAGAGGACATCTTTGAGTAGTTGAAGTCTCTCAGGCCTCAAGCTTGGCAGCCTTTACCTGCAAAGCCATCTATCTTGATGGCTCTGTAAGATAACCTTTTTTGTTTTGTTTTGTTTTGTTGTTTTTTTTTGAGACACAGGGTCTCTGTGTAGCCCTGGCTGTTATGATACTTGGTTTGTAGATGAGGCTGACCGGCAACTCATAAGAGCTCTCTGCCTGCCTCTGTCTCCTGAACCTGAAAGATAATTTTTAAGTTCCTATAATTATGCTGTTAACTTTTGTTCTGTTTTTTGTTTGTTTTGTTTTTTTGAGGCAGGGTTTCTCTGTGTAGCCTTGGCTGTCACAGAACTTACTCTGTAGGCCAGGCTGGCCTGGAACTCACAGAGATCTGCCTGTC